ACACATTTTTCAGTTTGGTGGCGCGAAAAAAACAACATTGAGATCTCGCTTTCTGAAGCACAAACACTTTATGGCATTACAGACACCGTGCCTCAGTGTCTTGGTTTAAACCTCTGCTTGATAATTGCAAAATACTATATTTACACCGCGTCTAAAAATGAGGAAGATTATTTTTTCGACGCTTTTTTGTCTATCCTTAAAAATAAAATACAAATTGAAACTAGCAAAGCTAAGGTGCAAGTCAAGCTGTAAAAATAATTTTCTTGATTCTGGCTAATTTCCCTTGTTTTTTGGCTTTTTTGTTTTGTTTGTTTGTTTGTTTGTTTGTTATTTATTTATTTATTTATCTATTTTTTTGTCGTTTTTAGCGTATTCACTCGTCGTTAATAGATAGTAAGTTAGTAATTAGTGTATTAGAATGCTTTTTTCATTATTTTGTAACAGACTCCAACTCATCGGCTCCTGTTCTGTAAGCATTATCTTGTAAGTTTATATTATGTAAGTATGTAGTATTTAACTTAGAAAGTTATATGTAAGTAGGTATTAAAGCTTTATGTAAGTAAGTACTATGTAAGTAAGTCAGCATTATGTTTGTAAAAACAATAAAAATTAAAAAAAAAAAAAAAAAAATTCCGAATAGATTGGCATCTCTGCGGTAGCAGTCACCTGAGTTTGACGTTTGGGAGCCAGTTGCATAGATCTCAACGTGAGACACACCAGCTAATCCCTATTTCAAACAGTACAAATTATTAGCTAGAAATGCTCTACTTTTTTCACCACTCTTATATAATTCTATCTCGTTCCAAATGGGCATACTTCTTCAGTTTTCAAAGAACTGACAAAAGTAAATAGAAATAATTTCTGTTTACTTTTGCCATCTGTCGAAAAACGACTCATCTTTTCCACAACCTTAACCCGAGCCTTTAATACGCCGATGGAATGCAGACGAAAGCGGGTTTAAAGCGATCAACAAAGGACTAAATTCCCTCCAAATACAAGGAAATAGTGGGAAGCGGCCAGAGAAGTCAGAGAAAGCGTTTCGTCGTGCGGAAAAAGATTTGGAAAAGGTACTTACTGAATTGGGGAAAATTAAAATGAGGGATTCGTTCGAGAAGCAATATCGTATGATTCAGAAACTCGGGAATTCATGTAGTTGTTGATTATGTAAGCTTAAATTCGATTAAATGATTTTTATTGAGGGTCGCTGACTGGATTCAGCTGTACAGTGATGCTCTTCAGTCCTCAATTTTCTAAACATTAACCGAAGCGGGGTAAGTCTATTTTGGGTTGCTTTGTATCATCTTCAAATGGATACGTATTATTATTTTAGCACAAAAACGTGTTAAGGTCGACACCGATCACTCGATCATTTTATAAATTCTCAATAACTGCTAATTGTGTGAAAGTGTAATGTTCATGGAGAATGTTGATGGAGATCACTATTTCTTAAGCCTGATCGCACTGAAATAGTTCTGGCTTCAGTCACAGTTCAGTTTTTAAGTGTGGATCGTAGTGGATATTTTTACACTGTCTGATTAAATCTGTGAAGTTAATTGTTTTAAGGGTATGAGGATTGTAACCACATGAATCAGAGGTTTTTAGCAAACAAAGCAATTGCACTTTTGAGCTTTGGTCAAACTCAGGTGGTTGTGAGTTTTAGGTTTAATGTTTAGACTATCTTATTTGTGTTTTTGCGGTGACTCGAATCTCAGTTTGAAATGTCTGTATTTGTTTTTTTTTTTTAAAGTTTAATGATGAGAATTTGTGCTTTAATTGAAATCGAGTTTTTTTTCTTATGCGATGATTTAAAGGTACTTGAAGTTATTCATAACTTGTGATCAATAATAATGCATTTTAGTGTTGTTGAGAGAAGATGGTGATGACCAGCCTTTAATTTTACAAACAAAACTAATCCTAAAGGAAACATTGATGATAGTAGCTGATAGTGCATGTCCAGCATTAAGTAAAACTCGCTCGCTCCCAATGTGTGGCTTCATGGCTCAGTTGGTAGAGCAACGCACCGGCAACGCGGAGGTCACGGGTTTCGAATCCCGTTGAAGTCCGTTTTTTTTTTTTCAGGCTTCTTCTTTCCAATTGCTTAAATCGGAAAATTTAGTGCGATGATCATTCTTCACTTTCATCTACAACCGCAGTTCAAAAATGAATTATTTCATATATACTTCACATCATTAAGTAAAACAGTTTGGCCTTCCTGATGCAACAGAGCAGCTTAGCCTTTTTGGGTTGTGGCTCTGTGAGAATTTTATTCTCCAGGTGTCTCAGAGGGAAATAAAAAACTGCTTTATTTCTAAGACATTGTTTAAGCATTTAGTTCCCAGTATTGTATCGTGTTGCTCAGGCGCTCTTTCAAATATTGCAAGTGTTTTGCTTACATTCGAATTTAACCTCATCCAGATCCAGTGAGGCCTTTCAAACTAACGCTTCAGTTTTAAAAGTTTTCGCATGAGGCAGTTTCCGTTTGGGGGTTAGTGTTAGTTCTGGCATTGAATGAAGGTTCCATAAAAAGGTTGCGTTTACATAAAATTATGGAGATCTTGTAAGCACGAATTGAAATATGTGAAATGATTCACAAATTGTTTGAACTGCGGATGAAGGTATGAAAGTGAACATGATAATCGCAATAAAATGCGCAGCCTATTCGGTTACTTTTGCCGTTCTGAAAAGCGTTAATCAAATGTACCCGTCGGATACATCTAGAAATCCGTTTTGACCTTGCCTTGTGTTCCATTTGATCCTCGATCTTTTACAGAAAACCTCTTTTTGAACAAACGTTAACCATTTTATCACATTATTTTATCATATTTGGTCAAAAACAGTATCCAAAAGAACATGAACAGAAGAGGTGAGAAACGCGTAGGCGCCGGGCAGGAGAAATCGCCTTCGTTTACCAAAATAACAAAAGAAATGAATCAATAACATTGGCGAGCAACTAATCATTATATAAATTTGGAAAGTCGATGGAAAAGGTCACATAAGTTTGGAAAATTAAGCTTTATTTCTCGACCTTGAACCTTAGACAATGATTCACGCAGACTCCGTGTCATTTCTCACCTCTACTTCGATCTACTAATGATCGAATTCAGAAGTATTCGTCGATGTTTGGCTTTCCCTGGACAAATCCATCGGTGAATGCTCAATGGTATATAAAACAATGAGTGCTCTGGTATGGCTTAAAGTCTATAATCATAATTTCGGCTTGTAACTAGTTCAACTCTACAAGGTCTGTTTTGAGTATCCTCTTGAGTATCCTCACTTTATGTTTCACACGCGTGTCCTGTGACATGCAAATCAGCTAAGAAATAGTATCTAATGCGCATGTGCAACAGCTGACTCTGTCCCTTTAAGAAACCATTGGACCTCCATGACTCTTGGTGGGTTAATTTAAGAAAATAAGTGCTTTTCGAGTGTAGGTTTTTGTTCAGGGTCGAGGGTAAATTGTCGAGGGTAGTTTTTTTATAGGTTTTTTTTTAGCTTTGGTCGCAAGATTTCCCGATTTTTCGGACGAGTAAAAACATTTCTTGCAACAACAAGAAATGAATTAAACTATCTTTGTTCAGCTGTCCCCAGCTGGTAGGAAAAAAGCCTTCATAGGGTAAGGTATGTATTACAATGTAACAATATCAAGCTGCATGTCATGTAGTAATGCATGCAAGCAACTGCTGACATAGTTTAGGATGTCTTGCTAGGCGATACTATTTTCTTAGATAATACAGGCCAAAACGACAAGGCATTTTTTAAGAAAAAAAAAACACTCCTGTTTAGTTGCCCTGGCCTTTTGGAAACCTAAAGAATGACCGTTTAGCAATAAAAAACCCAGATATGATATACCTCCTAACAAATGTTGCTAAAACTCAGGATGTCCCGCTGGACGGTACCATTTTCTCCGGTAATACCGGCCAAAAGGACAGGGCCACTTTTATGAACAAAAATATTCCTATACAGTTACCCTAAGTGTCAGTTATTTTGACATGAAATTAGACTACTATTGAACATTGGAACATTTAAGGGCCATTTATACAAGGAAAAATAAGACAGGTCTTAAATAAGATGCGAACTGTACCATTTATACGAGCATGTCTTATCTAAGACGAGAACAGCTCATATAAATGGTTCGCGTCTTATTTCTGTTCTTGACTCGTTTTCAAGTGAATGTTGCCTGTAGCAACGGCAATCCAATGTGGCGCGCCAAAAATTAACGCATGCGTACTATGCGTTCGCATCTTATATAAGACGTGAAGGTCATTTATACGAAGTTTTTCTCGTCTTAGCTAAGACGTGTCTTATCTAAGAACAGTTGTTAAGGCTGTTCTGAAATAAGACGCGTCTTAGCTAAGCTGCATCTTATTGTAGACGAAATGTGCCGTTTATAAGGAAAGTTCGTGTCTTATTTAAGACGCTCCTATGTAAGACGCGTCTTATTTTTCCTCGTATAAATGGCCCTATTGTCAAGGCAGGTGTGGTGCAGAATGAGATGGGAAGAAGAATTTTGTATACTTAATTTACTTACCAAAGGCCCAGTTCTTGTAAGCCCTGATAATGATTAATGAGCCCGGAAAGCTGTTGTTGTTTATATTAAAAATTTGCAGATAATGTGATAAAAATATCAGTTAACAAAGTGAAATGGACTGGTTTCGTAGATGCAACCTGCACTTTTGTTCTTTAGATTTTGATTTGAATATTTAATTATGGGCCCAAAAGGTTATTGGGGGGATTTTGGGAGTTTAGTCTTTTATGGGGTAGCAAAATTCAGCTGAACTAGCTCTGGTATAGGCTAAGGGTTCCAGGGTCCCAGCGGCACATCCTCACCCAAAAATTTCTGAAGTACTTCCCCCCCGCACCCCGGATGTTTGAGAGAAGGACATGTAAATATATTTTTCCTTTTGGACATGTATGTCTTATTTTAGAGTCTCAAAGTTTTGTATAACATGAACAGAAAGTTCTGAAAGTTTGATCATTAACTTTGTTTCCTTTTTCCTAACAGCTCAAGTAGTCTTTGAAAAAATGAGGGAAATGTTACATTTTCTTCCTGACCCAAGACCATCACTTACAGTAAGTGGATTTTTTTTTAAGTAGTAGAGCATTATTAAATTTGTGTGCAATTAAACTACACTGATTATCATTCAAAGTAGCAAGTGTATCTCAGCGAAGACTACCTCGAAAATTCCCGTGAAAATCCCATGAGATTAGCCGGTTTTTCTGCAAATTTGTCCCTGAAAAACCCTGCAAAATTTAACTTTTTTCTCTGCAACCTATCGGAAGCTTTGCCTTAGTGCTGAGAAACAACAATAAGTGGTTTATGATTTCCCTTATTTATTTTTATTTTTTGCAAGTAGCTGTCGCTTAGCCAGACAGCATTTTTTGCTGGTTTCTGGTGTTTCTGGAGAACTGAAATGCGATTTATTTTAACTGATATATTTTTACATAACTTCATTTAAATATATGCTTTCATAAATCGTTTTTCTTTTTATCAGGAGTACCTTCGGCAGACTGGACTTTCCTTACTCTTTCCAAGGGTCACATCCTACTTAACAAATCCAGAAAGGCCAGCTTTCCAGAGCCATAAATCTTCTATATGGATGGTACTGGAATTACTTTTCATACTAAAGTTTGTTTTGCAATAACAGTACACTGCATGACTAAACCACCTTGCGCAGCATAATAAACAGAACCATACAGAAGTATTACTTAGTTAACTTTCATTTGAATGGTTTTACTTTAGGATTTTTTTATGATAAAATTTATTTTTGTTGCAATAAAAATATGTACAGTGAGCAAAAAATAATAAGTACAATTTTGCCTAGAGACTGACTATACAGCTCACTCAACCACCTTATACAACAAGATAAACAGTACCACAGAAAAAGTACTGCTTAGTAACTTTTACGTAGTATTTCATCTACTGACCCAAAAGTTAAAACCACCTTGTACAGCATAATAAACAGTACAGCAGGAAAGTACTGCTCAGTAGCTTTCATTTGAATGGTTACTCTTGAGGATTTCATCCACGGACTTGAAAGTTAGAACCACCTTGTACAGCATAATAAACAGTACCACAGGAAAGTACTGCCCAGTAACTTTCATTTGAATGGTCACACTTTAGGTTAGGTTTGGTCTTAAACATTGAGGGTTCCTTATATCGAAGACCTTGATTTAACAAATTTTTTGGAAAACAAGCAAAATGTTCGTTACAGCTAGGTATGGTTAATGATCAATTTCCAAAGCCCTGCATTTCCGGTTTGGACAATTTCTGTAATTAATAACATTTGCATAAGAAGCCATTGTCTCAGTTCACAGCTGTACATAGCTATGGCACTAGAAACACAAGAAAGGCTAAAAAAAAACTGCTTAAACTACTGTACTCATACATTTTATCCCTGTTGGTCTGTTTCGCATTCATCTTTAGCTATCTTTCAATTACATGTTAATATTGATTCGTTGCAAAGGTATATTTTACGTTTGCATTTCTGGATTGTGTTTCTTATAATGAGGATTTTGTTAAATCAAGGATCATTATACCAAGGGTCTGTTCGATACATTTTATTGTAATTTTGGGCGGGCTGAAAAAAATCGTTTGTTATATAGAGGTTCATTAAATCGAGGTTCCACTGTACTTTGAAAGTACAGACTCCTTGCTACCTTTATAAAAAATAGAAGAAAAATATAGAACCGAAAGAAATCCCAACTGTTTGATACCTCATGATCATCTACTTGTTGTACTTGGGAACTTGAAATATCTTAGTGACAGCCCTGATTGTGTGTCAAGGTACAACTTTTGTGTTTTCACGTTATAGGTTATTTCCAGCACCTTGGGATGTTGAATCAGCTTATTACTCTGAGTCACCAGCTGAACAGTGATGCATTCAATCTTACAAATCACAAGTAGAAGAGAAGCAAAAATCGCCCAGAATTTTCTGTAGCTTAAGGCAGGCTAACAATTTCTAGATGACCATCCCATTCATGAAACATTTTTCAGAGTATATCTAATAAATTCCCTACTATTTTCTAAAGATAATTAATTTTTCGCATATTCTTTCACTCCCAGGACAAGCTATTTTTTGTACAAAAAGAAAACCTAAAATTTTCAGATTCAAAAATGCAAATATACAAAAAGGAATCAGAAAAATTCTTTCTTCCCTAAAACTTTAAACTGCATCTAAAATTTCGCGAAAACAATACTGTAGCCCTTGTAATTTCGAAAAGACTCAAGTTGCCCTAGGATGACCAAACAGATACAAATTTTATAGCACCGCTTAGAATGCATTTCTAGAGATGTAAAAGTACTCTGGATAGCCTAAAAGGTTTTTTCAATGCATTTAAGAGGAAACCGTTGTTGGGTGCCCCTGATTTTACTCCCCTTAATTCCCCTCCCTCTCTATCAGTGCTCCATTTTACAGGTATTTAAACCTATTTTTAATAATGCTATACAGAAAGGAAAAAAGTCGAAGAAAGGATTTCCTCACCTGGGAATTAAACTCAAAACCTCCCGCACAGAAATCCTTGCTCCATTGAAAACAGAACAAGCAGTTTATGTGGTCATGCCGAGATCAACTTGTTTTCATAGCAGAGCAAACTTAGTTAACTGATTCATCCTTACAGGATCAACTGTAACATTTGAAATTTCAACCACATTACACCATTTGTAGTTTTTTTGGCAAATTGTGTAGTGCTCTATGTGACTTTAGCACTTTTATCTCAACAGCAATCTGTGCATCAAGCAGGTCCCCCTTTAGCAGACTACAAGAAAAATATTGAATCAAATTTCAAGAGTTTGAAAGCTGGCTTAGCTCCAAAGGACAAAGAATCAGTTCCAAAACTTCCCCAAAACCAGAAAGAGTGGTAAGAATCAAAATAATTTTGTCCATTGTAGATTATAATGAATGTGATATTTAATTTGTCACTAGTTATGATAACTGGGTTTGAGCCAGCTCTTAGGCCAGGAGAACACTGTGTTCATTAGGCATCAGAGATTGGAGAATTCTATGCACTATGCAAAATTCTCTTGCAAATGTTTGATAGCAGTATGAGTATTTTTATATTCAGGTGTGAAGTCTGTAATTTCTGTAATGTTACACCTTTCTCCTGCTACTAGAATAATGATAATTATTCTTAGTCTTTTCAAGGCCAACAATAAATTTTGGTAACAAACACAACTGTTTTGATGCCCATCAATGATGAAAATATAATTTTTTATACTAATTTTTTAATTCAAAAAGCAGTTATAGCATCAGGAAACATAATTCAACGCTGCAAAAAATCCCAAAGAGAGCAAAGTTGAGAATCTTGGCTGGAAGGAAGCAGACTATACAATATTCGAGGGACAAAAAAATGTAGCCATCCTATAATCTTGTGCGAAACAACTGAGTAAAAAGTGCTTCTTAAGAAACGCAGTTAACAAACTTGCATTGCCTAAGCCTCAGACAGAGTATCTGAAGTGCAGCTTTTCATACAGTGTATAGCGGTGCTGCCTTAATTGTGGAATCCTCTGCCACTAGACCTTAGGGAATGTGACTCCCTGGGAGTTTAAAATAATCAGGGGCACCCAACAAGAAAATAGTTCAAAACCACTTAAACATAGCATTGTTAGACGTATTTAAATATTTCAACGGTAGATATAGGCATATTTTTATCCCCTAAAAATTTTTCATCTGTTTGGATTTCCTAGCTGAATGATGTCTAGTGATCCGAAAATTATAGGGATCAAAACTTAACTTTTCAATAATTTCAGCCAGAAAAAAGGCTCCTGAAAATTAAAAATGGGCAATTATACCATTTTTTAGATGTTCAAAAATCCTAGGAGAGGCAGGCAAGCAAGAAATTTTACGAAAATGTTCCAAAATTTCTGGATCTCAAATCATCTTCCGAAGAGATATTTTTCGAAAATTGCCGTTGGGTGTCCCTGGATAATAAACTCAAAACTTACTCTTCTTCCTTATTAGGCTCCCAAACAGCAATCATGTGAATGAGTTAGATTTTAATAGATTACGTTTATTTAGTAGTATAGTTTTTTAACTGATGATTTTTCATGTATAAATAAGTTTAAAAAAAACATCCATCCTTAATTCACTCTAATATTTTGTACTGTGTCTTCCTATAGGGTCAATAGCATCACAGCCAATATCCTGGATGGTGTTCAGTCCATGCCTCCAAGTCTCACTCAGCCTATGATCTCTGCTATGACGTTTGTAGAACAGCAGCGTTAGCTAGGAGATTAATGTTAATGATATATTCCTTCTACTCTGAGAGTCAATGCAACATTGCATGATGACATCCTTTTACTACTGCAACCACAATTCTTCATGCAAATGGCCTTTTTATCCTTCAAGCCCCAAATATCAACATGTGTACTCTCCTCATTGTTTTCAATATGTTTTTTATTGTACTTCTTGAGAGAATTAGCTCAAGCATCAAGACATTTCCTAATCATCAGTGCTGATCATTCTGTTCATTCTCCTGACCTGTACATTTGATTTAGTGGCAGTGATATTGTTAGGAAAAGTTTTATACATGTAAGTATTGGGGCTTAAAGTGTGTCAGAGTAAGGCCATAAATGACTCTTAATGCACTGTTAAATCCCCCTTGTTTCACAAGAGAATATAAGGCAATTAAGAAGGAGAATCTGGCAGTTTATCAAAAGTTACTAATACTGTGGAACCTCGATATAATGAGCCTCTATATTTCAAAGTCCTCGGTATAGCGCGTGATTATCTTTACCCCAGTAAAAGTCAAATGACTTGTATGGAAAAGAACCTCAATGTAAGGAACATAATATTTTGCCAGTCCCTTGCCCCTTCATAATATCTAGGTTCCCCTGTATCTTTTTTCCAAGATCCTGTTTAATTATGTGGACGTACACAAACGTCAAACTTTTGATTCAGAGCCAAAAGATTTTGTGTGACCTTTTAGATGAAAGCCCTTGCACCGTCCTGTCTTCTAGGGCCCATCTCTTGAAAGTTCCGGTTAATGTGTTGTCTTGTGTTTTAGCCCTTTAAGTCCTAATGATAATAATAATAATAATGATTTGGAGGTAGCACATCCACAAAGTGGTTCTTCGTCTACCTGATTCCTGATCGAATTAGAATTTGAAAATGTTGGTTTTTGAGGAGAGGGGAAAGCCGAAGTACCCGGAGAAAAACCTCTCGGAGCAAGGGAGAGAACCAACAACAAACTCAACCCACATATGGCGTTCACGCCACGATTTGAACCTGGGCCACTTTGGTGGGAGGTGAACGCTCTCACCACTGTGTCATCCCTTGCTCCCTGTAATAACAGTGACCAGCAGCCAATTTCTCCTAACAACAATACTGCCTGATTAAACGTACCATTCATGAGAATGAAGGAAATGATCATCACCAATGATGGAACGTCTTGATGTTTGAACAAACTCTCTCAACTAGTACCATAAGGAATGTATGAAGAACAGTGTGGAGAATCTGAATATGCATATTTGATATTCGAATTGGGGCTTATATCAAGGGCAAAGTACTGTCAGAATCAAGAATATTTTCCGTCTAAAGACTATTCATGCAAACCGAGCAAACAGCATTGTGCCTAAGGCCTTTAAACACTTAAGCACTAACATTAAAACTTGACAACTTTCACCAAAAATTTTCCGCAGTGTAGCTGGCCAACCTTTTGTGTATTTTCTTGCGATAATGAATTGTTTTAAGCACCGTAGTGAAACTACCAAATGTTAAAATGTTCTCTAAGTGATAAAAATGTTAATAATGTATTGTGTGCATATATCGAGGTAAGACTGTCAGTAATGTAATCATAGTATTTATAGCATAGTTTGGTCACACAGAAACGTTTTGATGGGAGCAGATACATGATAAACTAAATTTGACCTTAAAATGTTAATAAGTTAATACACAAGTACCGTTCATAAGTAATGAGGTTTGTAAACATGCAATAGACTGTGTATTTAAGATCATAGTTAATGGTGAAAAGATAAATCTTTGGACTTATTTATTTTAGCCTAGTGTAATTTGTGTAGTAAAGAATCAAAGAACTTGAAATAAAAGGTTATGCCAACAGTCTGGATGCCTGAAGCTTTTCTCGTATATCTTGCCCCTCCTACAGTACAAATCTAATAATTCCTGCCACTATTGCCCCATATAAGATAATCCAGATTCTGGAATCCGAGAAATTTTTGCTAGTGAATCCGGAATCCTGGGTTTGGAGTCCAAAATTCAGCATTAGGGAATCTGTTCGACTGACAAGGAATACTGAATCCAGTACCAGGAATCCAGAATCCACGGGGTGGAATCCAGATTCCAAGACTATCTTTAATTACCTCATAGGGCGGCTACTAGCTGTCGACTATGTACACACGTATAGCGGGTGATTTGGGGTGTTAAAGATGGGAATAGGCGTTTTAAAAGCGTGCATAAAGACTGACCCTCTGGCCATGACCATGGGTTTGAATTTTGATCATAAACAATCCGCATCTTTCTTTAAAACTACGAGATTAAAAGCATTGAGTCTTCACTGTTTTTGTTTTTTTGTAAATTGTCTTCGTTAAACTTATTTTAGCTTCTGTTTGGGCGATTTAATTTAGGCGTGATCCGGATAAATGTAACAAATAACAGACTTTGCAAAAGAAATAAAATGGATTGAAAATTAATTGCAACTGGTTCTAGTTTGCCTTTAAAGGCTGAAAACTATCTGGCTTAGTTAACTATCAATAAAACGATGTCCTGTAATTATGGCCTATGTAAAATGTGAGTTGTAAAAGAAAGCTCTTGAATTTTAGGCTACTGGACTTATCTTGGCACTTTAGATCACTGCCAACCTAACAAAACGATCAGCTGGAAAAAATCGTCACCCGGGACGGAATTAGTCTAACTTAAAATTTGTTTTCACTGTTTGATTCAAAATTAATTTCCGAAAAGAAAGACAGCCTGAGATGAACGCGAGAAAGGTTCGAATGACAGGGGCACCCAACGAGAATATAGTTCAAAACCACTAAAACATAGCATTGTTAAACGTATTTTGGTATTTAAACGGTAGATATAGGCATATTTTTATCCCCTGAAAATTTTTCATCAGTTCGGATTTCCTAGCTGAAAGTCTAGTGATCCGAAAATTATAGAGATCAAAACTTACCTTTTCGAAAATTTCAGCCAGAAAAAAGGCTCCCGAAAATTCTAGGTGACCTTTTTAGGGTAAAAATCCGTTAAAAATAGGCAATTATACCATATTTTAGATGTTCGAAAATCCTAGGAGAAGCAGGGAAGCAAGAAATTTTACAACAAATGTTCGGAAAATTCTAGATATCAAATCGTCTTCCGAACATATATTTTCCCGAAAATTGTCGTTGGGTGCCCCTGGAATGATACCCTCGGATACCAGTTTTAGGGCCAGACAGTGCAGACAATCTACGATCTGTGAAAAAATAAAACTGTAAATACATGAAAAATGTTTCTTGCTTATTTTCTTATGGGTATGTGAGGTTTTGCTGCTCAAACCTTTTGCAGTGA